AATTACTGCTCGGCACCGTCTCGGCACAGACTGGATAAGTTGACGAAGTAGCTATTATCATCGTAGGCGACTTCAATTTCCATTTTGACAACAAGGATAACCATGACATTAAACGAATAATTAATCTCCTTGAAGTCCACAACTGTGTACAACTCAGGCGTTTCAGAGGCAAGCCACAGAGGTGGACACACTCTGGACTGGATAGTTACCCGTGATTCAGACGCGTTTGTCAGTTGTGTACCTGTATATGATCTACAGCTCTCTGACCATTTCCATATATCTGTGAGCTTGGACCTCTCAATACCCAGTCCAAATGTGAAGATTACTCGCTGTAGGAACATGCGCTTCCTGGATATGGATACTTTTAAAGACAATTTGCTAAACTCAGACCTTATACTTGAGCCACCATCTGATGCTGAGAGTCTCGTTCTGCTATGCAATAGAGTTCTATCTGAGCTGCTATATAGACAAACATGTACCAGTGAAGGACAGAGTCATACCAGTCACTAAAACATCTGCTTGGGACTTCACACCTGAAGTTCGACAAGCGAAAAAAGACAAGAGGAAAGTAGAACGCAGATGGAAACAATCTTTCCTGGAGATTCATCTCCAAATGCATATTTCAGCCAAAAATCACTCAACAACGGTCATCAGACAAATCAACATCTCAATTCTAAGATTGAAGCCAACGAGTCAAGTCCAAAGTTGCTGTTCAAACTTTTGTTCAGTATCTTGAGTAAACACTTTGAACCAACACTTCCAACATCTAATGACAATGAAGTAATAGCACAGACATTTTCGGATTATTTCTACAAAAAGATGCAAGAACATTCATGACAATATTTCGTCTTCTGCGGCTGTGGATGAAGCTGACATTCCTCCAAAAATGTTTGATAGCACGCCTCTTACTCATATTGATAGTTTCACTGCTATTTACTAACAATAGTGATGATTATTAACTTCTCTACTTCATCTGGTTATGCCCCAAGTGTACTCAAGTCAGCTCTAGTTAGGCCACATCTGAAGAAATCAAGCCTTGATTAGGAGGATCCAAAAAACTACAGGCCTGTTTCAAACTTAGCATTTATATCCAAACTCAGTCCAGTCCAGTTGTCTCATGGGCCACCTTTCCTGGCATAACCTCTATGAGGTGTTCCTATCAGCCTGCAGAGCACACCACAGCACAGAGACGGCCCTGCTGAAGATCCCGAATGACCTACGATGTGGTATCGACACAGGACAAGTGGCCCTGCTCACATTACTTGGCCTAAGCAGTGTCTTTGACACGACTGATCACCAGAGACTCCTCAAAAGACTTGATACAGAACTCAAGGACTCAAACCGTTGTTGTTGGTGAGTCTGTGTCAACCGCATCTAGGCTTGAGTGCGGAGTCCCTCAAGGATCCGTGCTTGGTCCGATCCTCTTCACCCTCTACACTGTTCCACTTGGCTCTGTTGTAGCAAACCTTAATCTTGACCACTTCTACGCAGATGACACGCAGCTGTGGAAGTTATTTCAACGAAACACACTGTCAGCTATAGAGAGTTTCTCTGTCAGACATCTGACTGTTGCCAGAAGATATTCATCGATGTCATCAAATGCCTTGAAATTAAATTAAGAGAAAACAGAGTCCATTCTTTTGGGACAGGCTGGAAAACGCAAGCAGTGTGACATTACTAGTGTGTGTGTCTGTGGAGCAACCATTCCTCTTTCTTCCACTGTCAACGATCTGGATGTTGTCATCGATCAAGATCTAAGTATGACAGTACACGTCAAGTATGCTACTAAAACTTGCTACTCCCATCTCCACAATATCAGCAAGGCCAGACCGTTCTTACCAAAGATGCCTCAAAACTCTCTGCCTCAGCCTAGTCACATCTCGTATGGACTACTGTAACAGCCTTTTGGCCGGATTCTATCTTGTGTCACTGACCAACTCCAATGCATACCGAATTTAGCTGCTCGCATTACCTCCCAGATCACCAGAAAAAAGCACATCCCACCAACTCTAAAGGACATTCATTAGCTGCCCGTGAAACAAAGAATCTCCTTCAAACTATTCTGTCTCGCATACCAGTGCATGACTAACACGGCTCTAGTCTAACTCTCAGATCTTCTTCAGGCTTATACACCATCTAGATCTCTCAGAACAGGGAATCAACACCTTCTTGTTATCCCCAAAGTCAAACAAGCTAAATATGGACACCGTGTCTTCTCCTATCCTGCTGATAAAAAAAAATTCTCCCCACATTTATTTGTATATCTTTTCTTTCAAAGATTATAACCATTTTAGAAAGTTATTCGATCTGATGACTTGAAAATTATTTCAAGGGATTTAATTGAGAGAGTGTGAAGCAGAAAATAGTGTTTTCTCCCCATCATTTCATTATATTCTTATCTATTTTCAAAGAACTCTGCTTTTAGAAGAAAAACTTCAAGCGTAATAATAAGAAATTTATAAATCATAATCTGATATTGACATACTACAGTTTGAAATAAGGACTGCTCCCTTACTGACAGTCTCATCAAACAAAAATAAACATCTCTTTTTTGTTTCATACATAACTGTTCTTTAATAACTTGTTTTACATTGAGTTGATGAAATGAAGCAATCATATACTTACAAAATGCACAAAACCTACATTTGCTTAAATTCGTCTGCTAGCTGCCATTTTGAGAAAGGGAGTGTTCATTATATATATTTTTTTAATTTAAAAAAAATATATTTTGGGTTTTCTTTTAATAAAACAGTTCATGAAATAGAGAAACACACTTGGATAAAGTTAATAACCTCAAACTTTAAATACTCAACTCTCCAATTATGACCTTCTGGCCTTTTTAGCAACCGTTTCCACAACCATTTTGTACAGTGCTCAAAAGTACTATTTGCATCATATTTCAACTTGGAACCAAACTTTTTATTTAACTAGCATGTCTGATGAATACTAAAAACACAATGTCTTGCTTTCATCACAAAACTTCCACGGGACTTGAATGCTGTACCCATCCTACCAGACTAGTAGGCTGAGATTCAATCTTAGATGCGGCAATAGAACGTTTCAATTCTTTGATCTTAGAAAAACTTCTCTGTTCAAGATCTTTCAAGGCCGATCCAAACGACGAACTAACATCCTCCTTAAGGACGCTAACATAGCCGAAAAAGGGTTCAAATCAAGTACAGGTGGAGGTGGATTACAGTCTGGTATAGCAGGCTTACTGCATTTAGATTTTTTAGGTGTCAATTTGCGTTTTTTGGCGTGAATCCTAGCCTCATGCATAGAACTCCATTCAAGTTGTGATAAGTCCTGGCACAACAAACAACGCTTTGCTTAAGTACAAGGAGCGTCTGTGGTACAAGCCAAACACAAAAAATGTGGATCCTTATCAGACTGGTAACGCTGACAGCCCAGACATTTCTTCTGAGACATGATTTACTAACGCACGTGGCTTACAAAAATGGCGGGAAAATCTAAATAAGTTCACACTGCAAAATTAAGGCAATTAAGAGTTGAATATGCAAAAATACGATTGTCCCAGCACAAAAGCGACAGTACGAACCTAGTCTGTCACTGTATAAAGTTGAACTTGAACACAAAAGTGAAAATCCAAGGAAGTCTTGAAACACGTCCACATCCCGGTGAGTACAGAGGAAAATATGACACGTGTGGATAACCACTGGCAGAAGAACAATCAAGGGACGTAATCAGGAGAGGTCAAGTGTTATCTAGGTAGGGATTACTTCCCTTTGTTATTAAATTTTTTATTTTATCTCAGGGAGTCTGTAACACATCACCAAGTGACGGAGGAAAAGGCTATCACAACCCATAGGGAATGTTTACGCCTATAATCGTTGCAACGTTTGATAAGCGTCTAAGAACATGAAATGTTCAGTCTTTGATACGGATGCCTCATGGCAATTTTCAGCGCTTTGTGTGAGAGTGAGTGAGTTTTGTTTTACACCGCACTTAGCAATATTCCAGGTATATGGCGGCGGTCGGTTTGAGCATTGATCTGCGCAATTGGGAACCGATAACATGCGTCAACCAAGTCAGCGAGCCTGGCCACTCAATCCCGTTAGTCACCTCTTACAACAAGTATGGGTTACTGAAGATCAATATTCTAACCCCGACCTTCACAGGTCCCTGAGCAGCTAGTGAACAATAATTTGAAACTGCTAGAATGCAATATGGCCGCCAAACAATTTACATTTTGACATGCATCAAAGAAGAAAATTTGTTCAGCATACCAAGTTATTACATTCTGACAAGATTCTAACAATTTATCTTAAATAGCAATGAAGATACAAATTGTTGAAAACTAATTTATGTGAAAATAAACAACAGAAGCAAACCGTTACTTTTCAAAGTATCACAAGACATTCCGAGACTGTTCATGCTTGAACTTTTGTCACAACACCTGCAAATTTTCAACATTCTGCAGTTCGTACATTCAGAGCTACAGATTGCGGAAGATGCCTACACCTCAAAACTGCAAATCTCCTCTGAACATCTTCATTTGTATATGTCTCCAAACCTTTTGAGCCAAATGGATTGTACAAATTAGATAAGTGGAATTTCGCTTTCAAAACACATTCAATTGTTTTCGTACTCATATAAGAAAAGAGGGTGGTGCTTCATTAATGCTCATTCGTATGTGTATATGTATCGAGGACATTTGTACCAAGCAATACCACAAAAGGTATCATTTACTTTGAACCTGTGAAGTTTCCTGTGACATGAACACTTATTTAACAATTTGCTGACATTAACTTTCATTTGAAAGTTCAAATTATCGTGGAGGATCATATGACAAGTTGACAACACATACATACAATACAGTGCAAATTGCAAGAGTAAATTTACATTTGCATCTGTCCCATACATATAGATGTGTTCACATGACAAGTATACTCATGACACGAATGCAAACATTCACACTTATATATAGAGGTGCATGTGAACCAGGTGTCAGTTATTGGAAATGAAAATGACAGTTTTCATTGTATTGTGACAAGTCTTTATTATCATGCTTTACATAGTTCATGCCACTATTCGTGATTATTACTGTACAAAGAAATCCTGTACTTATCTGGCTACAAACCTACGTTTCAGGTCTCAACACTCAACAACATATGTTCAGTCCACACACTCTGCTGAATTGTCTGTTCTGATTTATCTCTTCACCTCAGCTGCTATTGGGTTCATGCACCTGAAAAGAGAGAAAGGTATGAAAACCACTTTTACTAAAAATACCAGAGTACCAGTTGTACAGAATACACCCTTTTCACAGTCAGTCCTAAAAGTAGAGCCAGTATTACTCTTTCCAGTTATTATTCACTTTCAGGAAATTTGATTTACTTCATATTACATATTGCATTATGTTTTGTGAACAAGGTTAGAAATAGCAATCAGCTGTACATCTGATTTTTCCCCATACTACTAGTGATTTAGTTATATATTGCCTGGTCGAGACTCGATTATTTACAGACCTCCGCCATTTAGTTGGAATACTGATGAATATGGCGTTAAACAATAAACAAACATCATCACAGCATTTCCACTTTTCCCTCCAATGTTTCAGAGCTCTCTTTAAACAGTCATATGTACAAATGTTTCAGAGCTCTGTTTATACAGTCATATGTACAAATGTTTCAGAGCTCTCTTTAAACAGTCTTATGTACAAATGTTTCACAGCTGCTGTTTATACAGTCCAATGTACAATTGTTTCAGAGCTCTCTTTAAACAGTCATATGTACAAATGTTTCAGAGCTCTGTTTATGCAGTCCAATGTACAAATGTTTCAGAGCTCTCTTTAAACAGTCATATGTACAAATGTTTCAGAGCTCTGTTTATACAGTCCAATGTACAAATGTTTCAGAGCTCTCTTTAAACAGTCATATGTACAAATGTTTCAGAGCTGCTGTTTATACAGTCATATGTACAAATGTTTCAGAGCTCTCTTTAAACAGTCATATGTACAAATGTTTCAGAGCTCTGTTTATACAGTCCAATGTACAAATGTTTCAGAGCTCTGTTTATAGTCATATGTACGAATGTTTCAGAGCTCTGTTTATACAGTCCAATGTACAAATGTTTCAGAGCTCTCTTTAAACAGTCATATGTACAAATGTTTCAGAGCTCTGTTTATACAGTCCAATGTACAAATGTTTCAGAGCTCTGTTTATAGTCCAATGTACAAATGCTTGTTTGTTTATTGTAAAATAATGCACTCTGCAATATTCTAACCATATGACAGTGGTTTGTAATAACTGAGTCTATTCCAGACAAACCAGTGATTTACATCATGAGCATTTATGTATGCAATTGACATGTGTCAACCAAGTCAGAGAGCTGAACACCCAATCTCTAAAGTCATATGAGAAAACAATTTAAGTGCAATGAAGGTGATGCGTTCAAGAATTCATGTTATTCCAGATTCAAAATGCCCATCAAAGGCTAAATATTCCTTCTACTTTTACACTTCTTACTAAATCTTGTGGAAGGAGTATATTAGGAAATTTCTAATATAAATACCGAAAATTAAACAAAACATAGCTCAGAATAAAACAAAAAGACTCCTCTACCTCTTTCATTTATGTCGCCTTGATGTTGCTGGAATATTGCTGAAAGCAGTGTAAGACCGTACTCACTCACTCACTTTCATTGCTTATTTTCTACATTGAAAATAATAACCATACTTAGGAACAGAACAAGGTATATTACTAGGTACTGTTTATGCACGGAACAGTTTGAAAATTCACCCTTTGAAGTTGTCTGGTCTATTTGCTAACAAAAAGTTAAAACTACAAAATATTTCTTTCTAAGTGTGAAAATATGGTATCTGTACTTGCTACAAAAAGATACTGTGTGCATAGGAAATAAAAATAAATTGGAACAATATGTGTACACAGGTACAAATGTACACTCTGTGAATAGTGAACCCATGTCATGATGTCAGTGGTTTCAACATTAGCATGTGATTCTAGATAAACTGGATGGAGCACATGAATGTCAAAAACTGATGTCCATTTTGGAATCCTAATCATTTGATTGTGTTAAAAATTATAAGGATAATGAACTGCACATAATGCACATCATCATTAGGCTACTGGGATGATCTGTGGGAGAATTTCTCAGGAGATTGCACATTGCCATTGTGACTGAAACATCATTTCAGCACTGTTGAGACATTTTCCGAACGTCCATGGGTTACAACACCAGGACAAACAGTAACTGGTGTCCCATCCTCGGCACAGGTTCCGCACAGCAGAGACTATTGCAAGACTTTGGCATATCCATCCCAACACTATCAGGAACCACATCATCGAGAAAGGTCAAGAGTGGAGCCAAAATTATGTCCGTTTACCGTAGTGGTGGAGGTGAACAGTTGTTTAGACAAGGTGAACAGACAAGTTAAACGTTTCCTGTTGTGATGCATGTCAACAACATCTACAACATCTTGGTCTCAAGCCTCTGTCTAGGAGAGCAGTTTCTTGGCGCTGGTTCCATAATGACTTGGGGTTGGATAGGTGCACCTCACAGGACCCCTTTAGTTGTTGCTACTGGGATACAATTCTCGGACCAGTGGCAAGTCTGATTTTTCAAATGGCAAAATCACCAGGTAAATATTTGTGACTTGGCATCAGTGTTTAAAATAATGTAGCAAGCCATTCCATGAGCCTTCGGAAGTCCATGTGATAAAATCTACGCATCAGTGATGTACTGCTGTTCTCGTTTCCCACTGTTGGCATACCTGTTGTTCAGATTGTAATATTGTTGCCTAACCTCTGCCCTGCATTAAGACTCATAACACCACTGTCACGTACATTAAACATCCTGCTCTGCTGTATTTTTATGATCTCAATATTCACCTATTAAAGTCTGGATGCTTTTCGTTGTTTATATATTTACAATGTAGAAAAAAAATACCAAAGCACAGTTTCTTTTTGTGGCTAGTGCAGAATGTGCAGTTGTGTTCAAAAATTATTTGGTTGTTTACATCTGAACAAAATGCTCATGTGCAGGTGCATTTCCTGAGAAGGACAGGGTTTTCCTCAGAACTATTAAGCAGTGATGAGGACAACTGATGATCCCTAAAAAACATTTTTTTTTTATGATGCAGTGGAGTGATTGGCCACACATATCCTTACTTTTAGATAACATTACAAGAACTAACTTTAATAAGTTTGCCGCTAAGTCTGAATGGTCTCTGGAAGTCATTCTGACAATTTGCATATCCCATGCCAAGTCCAACTCCTGCTCCAAAAGCCACTGGCCATGGACGACCTGAAAGTACCAGATGATTGAATGAAAATCCATCCATCCATCCATCCAAACACATTACATTCCTTGCATACAGGAAATTAACTCCTGTATGTGTCTGATTCTGCAAGAAAGGCATCTGTTATTGTATTCCCAAAGCAGGGTGGGGAGGGGGAGAATTGCATGTGCATGCATGTTCTTTATTGGTTGGAGGTGTTAATCCCTTGAATTCTGAATCTGCAACCACCATAAATGATTCTTTCACTAGTACATGATTAAAAGCCATATGTGGTTTGATAACTGTCACTGTGGTGTACAAGTTTTTAGAAATCATATTGAGACAATTATTGTGTACAATTAAATTTGTTTTATGTTAAATATATTGTTTATTTAAATCAATGATTGCATCACTCTGTAATAACTGGCAGTTTACAGCATAAAGAAGGCCCTTTTTGACAGCTGAAAGACAACTGGAGGACATATAGTACCACTTTGCCAAATGCCAGCAACAAACATCCCTCTTTTGAAAACAAATCTTGATTAGACTTATGTTCATTGTTTGGCACAAACAAAACGCAATAATTGTGTTTTGACAACAGTAAAATGTCAAACTACACTAAATATCACTTGTCCTGGTGAACCAGGCAGCATTTTCAGGGTTCGAAATACCCCATATATTAGCATGCCACGGCACAGTAAATATTGAAATGGCACGGATAAAAAAGGTTCTTGGTGCCCTTAAGGCATGCCTAAAGTTTTCGAGACATAACTCACCTCTAGTCATTTAATCCCCAAAACAAAACACTTACGCAATGACAAACAGGCAAAAACATTTATTGACTTTATCGCCCAGGAAATCAGTGGAATTATGACGGATGATATAAAAAAATGTGGTTGTTTTTCCATTTAGAGTGATGGGAGTACTGATAGTTCGAGTATTGAGGAGGTAATTGTGTATGATTGATATATTGAACAAGTGAACCTGTCCCAAAAGTCTTCAAATTATCATCATCATTGCTACAGTCATTTATTCTGAAGAAGATGTGGGCACACTTGATTTCTGAAAGGCACACTTAAAATCTTTGCCTGGTGCCCTAAGGCACACTTTAAAAAAAATGTATTTCTATCCCTGATTTTTAGGGAGTAGTTGACTGACAAGGACTCTATATTTTGTGACTTGTACTGATCAGCCAAGAGCTAGCCATCAATGAACCCAACCAGTCTTACTCACTTTACATAAAAAAACGGAATGGCGGGTAATCTACTGGTTATCTAAGAGTTCACTTGTTACACCAAGATACCAGGTTTGAATTTCCACATGGGGAAAATGTGTGCAGCCCATTTATGGTGCCCCCTGCCATGACATATACTGGAATATTGCTAAAAGTGGTGTAAAAGTATACCCCCTCACTCCCAGTTAAGGAAACCCAAAAAATGTGTCATTAAATCAGGGTAAACAGCCATGGAGCAATCAATATGCCAAATGGTAGAATGCTTGACTCAAACCTTTGCCCCTCAATTGAATAATGCTGACAACTTGGGTGCATGGGGTTGTAAAAACAGGCATCCTGTACATTTTGACAAAGATGTAATTTTCTGAATAAAATTGATATTTTATACTTATCCTGACTCATGCTCTTTTGCTTGTCTCCTTCCTCTTGCGAACGTTAGTGGAACACTTGTATCTCCTATTGAAGCTCCCTTCAATAAAAAACAGACGTACTCACCACTCACTACTCACCAAGAGTTATCTGTCTGGCCGTTTTGGCGGGAAAGCGGCGCCACCGTACTCCCATGCTTCACTCGCTCCGAATTTGAGCCCGACACTTTAATTTACAGGGAAATCCAAAGTGTCTAGTGGGGAGGTTGGGAGGGCTTACCTCATGAGTCAGGATAAGTATAAAATATCAATTTTATTCAGAAAATTACATATTTTTCCTTATCCTGACTCATGCTTATTGCTTGTAGAATCCGTCCGATTTGGTGGTGGGTCAAGCTACTTCTGGATTTCATTTAGTGATTTACGTCTTATATACCTCCTTATGGGAACTTCTTGTTGGCACTTCTATGTTACTGCTAGTCTCTGCTGCTGCTGTAACCCGGTACTTCCAGCTGTCTCTGACGGGGGGACCACAATTGTTAACTTTTGGTCCTTGCTTCTGTTAACATTTTATGTGGATTTTGCAACTCCATCTCTTGATGCGAGCATCAAGTGGAGAAGCGACCCTTTCCTGTACGAGTATGTCCTTACAAGTACTGGGTCATATCACTTATGCTAGTCTGTCCGAGACGTGCATATAGACTCTAAAGCTGAACTCTCCTGAGTGTAGGCTTTTGCAAGTCATGTGATAAAAGGGCGAGACTCCGACTCAGCACCTTTGTGGGACTGTCAATTGTTGTGGTACAACAAGTGGGCCGAAATGGTGAATGCCAGAGACGTCCTCGGTGGCGATGTCCCTCAGGTAGTGGTTGGCAAACACCATGTCCCATTTCCAGAAGCAGCCCTCCATTATCGTCCTTTTAGAGCAATTCCCATGTAGAGCGAGTGTTGACGCCAGAGCTCTAACTTTATGTGGGTTGGAGGCTCTTGGAGGATCAAGTCCTGCTGCGTTGTAGGCCCGTAGTATGACAGTTCTGATCCAGATTGATATCTTAGTGCGGAAGACCTCCGTCTGTGTCGCTGTTGATATCAGGACGAAAAGACGCTTGAATTTCCGTCTCCTGGACCTGGATCGTTGTAGGTAGACTTTCAATGCTCTCACTGGGCACAAGGATAGGTCCTGCGTATCCTGTGGTCCAAGGACTGATGATAGTTTTGGGACGTGGAACTGTCTGTCTGGAAGACCTGGCAGTTGATTCTTTGCTATGAAGTCCCATCTCAGTCCCATATGCAGTCCCAGCTAGTGTGCCTGCTTTCGCTGCCCTGGCGGAACATCCTCTCTTGTTCAAGCATGCCTTGATATAGTCCACACGTGTAGCCGGAACACCTCTGGGTTGCCGTGCGCCTGCTTTGTGTGAGGATGTACTAGTAGATTCGTCCACTCTGGTAGTTGCAGTGGAGGCAGTCCTTGTTCTTTTATGAGAATGGGGAACCATATTCTCGCTGACCAGTAAGGTGCGACCAAAATCAGTTGTAGGTCCTTCGTCTCACTGATTTTCTGCAACACCCTTGGTATTAGAGCTGGTGGTGGAAACGGTAAGCGTTTAGTCCTTCCCAGGAGATGCGTAGAGCGTCCGTTGCCCATGCTCGTGGATCTGGTATTGGTGAGACGAATGTTATCAGTTGATTGTTGAATCTTGTGGTGGAGAGGTCTATTAGTGGTGCTCCCATCTCTTGTATGATCTGCTTGAAGATCTCTGGATGTAGCATCCATTCTGTTGAGGATGGCTGCATTGGACAGGATAGTGCATCTTGTCTGTTATGCTGGCCAGTTGAAAGCAGAGGTCCAGAAGGTTCGCCGACCTTGTTGATCCTTCTGTGTATGTAGAACGCCACTGTGGAGTTGTCCGTATGTACTGTCAAATGAGCATTCTTCAAAATGCTGGTCCAGTGGAGTATGGCGTTTATCACTGCTTTCATTTCCAGCATGTTGATGTGCAGATCTTTCTCGTCTATGGTCCATATCCCAGCTGACACTTCGCTGTCGAGGTGTGCTCCCCAACCTTGGAGAGATGCGTCCACATAGAGATGCGTCTTGCACTCTCCGGCTCTGCTAAATAGGTGCTTCTGCGACCATCCGATCTCTGAGTCCACCATATTAGATATGGTTTTAGTCTGTCCGGGAGTCCGAAGGGGTCCGGATCGTCCAGTTGTACATTCACGAAGACCTGTAGTGGGCGTAGTTGTAGACTCCCTCTGCGTGTCATGTCCTGTGCTGATGTGAGAAGACCCAACAGACTCTGCCACTTCGTAGTAATAACGGAGAGAGTAGTGCTTGTCCGACTCTGTGACTGCCATCGTTGTAAAGTCGATATAAAGTAGTCTGGCTGCCGTCACCCAAAGTCCGTCCAACGTATGTTGCTGCAATTCGTCTGATGAATCGTCTTCAAAGTTGACAGGGAAGGTCTCTAACCCCGTGAAGGCAGCCAAATCATGTAGGTCCCGTCTAACTGGACTGTAATTGAGGCCTTCCTCTCTCGTTGACAGGTTGTTGTCACTTGTAACCCATTTCCGTGCCCGGTGATGAATTCGGACAAGAGTACCCCTCTTGAACTGCATTACATGTCCCTCAGTCTTTGTGCCGGAGAAGATCTTTCCCTTCCAGGGTGACGCTAGGTCCAGTCCGCCATCGTGTCCTGGTGGAATATCCTTGAAGATCTGCTTAGCGATCTGCATGGCGGTCTGCGTGGTGCGTCTGTATGGCGCCCTGTGTGTAGGTGATCGTCTTTTAGTCCGGGATTGCCTTCCTGGCAATGTATTCCTAAGTTGGGATTCCCGTGATGATCTGCGAGGCGTTGTTGATGTCCTTGATGTAGGTAGTCGGCGTGAAGGTCCTTTATTAGGCTCATCATCTGTTGACGGTCTCTGAAGATTGCGCCTTCCTTCGCGCAGGTTGCCGACGCCATGTAGCGTTCTGTTGAGAGTCTGAGTACTGCGACATCTCTGCGTTGTAGATGGCCTGCGCGAATGCCTTCGCGCAGGCTCGTTGACGTCCTGTAGAGTTGAGTGCTGCATTCTCTTCCTTAAAGGGTGACGTCTGTATCAGATCCACTGTTATGAGAGCGTTGATCGTCCTTCGCTCGGGATCTGCGTGGAGACCTGTGTGAAGACCTGCGTGGAGACCTGCATGGAGATCTGCGTGGAGACCTGCGTGGAGATCTGCCTGTTGAGCTGCGTCTGTAGGGGGATCTGCGCGGAGAACTGTGTGGAGGTGAGCGTCTCTTGGTTCGTGAATGCCTAGGTGAAGCCCTTGACGATCTGCGAGATGTTGATGACGCCCTTGAGGCTGTGTCCGGCTGGGCCTTCGCTGGCTGTTCATCTGAGTCGCCATCTGAAGGCGAAGCGTGCCGTCCTGCGCAGATCT